TTCCCCTCTCCCGTCGGCGAATTGCTCTATTGAATACTCAGTCTTAGTGTTTTTTTTTCAAATCAATCAAGTTTATAAAGTTTGCCTTGTGGGCATAGCACTTTGCCTTTCACTTCCTTGAAAATTAATAATACTTCAGAACGGTGTCAATCTGATGTCGAACTACGCTCGTGCATGTGAACGCCGTCGGGAAGCTCTGTCAGTACAGCCCGTCTGTGTGCCACCACCGCGTGTCGCGAGTTCTGCCTCACAGCAGCCGATCAGTGTGAATATTCGTGAACAGCATGGTCCCACACCTTCATGTTCTTCTAGTCGACACGATCTTGGATCAAATTATTCCGACCATAGTGGGAAAGGTGAGTCACGTTTATTGGTTTGCTGCCTATGTAGGTTTTCCTATTTTTGATGTCAAATAACTATTTTTCTTCACGGAATGGAATTCAAAAATTGTGATCTTTGTGAGTACTTACTGCTCTATAAAGTAATGAAGTGCGCAGAAGTTTAGTTAGCCTTTCAGATGAAAGGATTTGAGAGAATCTTGCCTAAACTCCTCCTCCTTTTAGCCATCTTCGCTGCAATCACCCTCGAACACGAGCCGTCTGAGTGCTGTGTCAACCGAACGATGCATCAGCGTAGCGAATTCTACAGCCATACATTTCCAAGAGGTGGGTAACCTTTCCACTTTTTTTTTCTTCAACAACTATCCTCCGCTAGTGATTATTATAACAAGCCCGTAATTTTGCGCTAAATGGTCGACCACACAAAGTACCATTTCGAAAAGGATAATTGTTACAAACTAGTTCTTTGTGGGGTACGTGTTCACTGAGTGAATGAGTGTTCTTCTCGCAAGTGAAACGAGAGATTGTTCTTTTACTAATTAGAAGTTTATGGCTTTTTGGATGAAGTTTATTTTTATTTTGCAGTACGATGAACAACCAACCGGTACTATAAAACGTGCTCCACTTGATGTTCTTCGACGAGTCAGTCACTCATCGTCTTCAAATGGAGGAGGTCAGTCAATTGGTAAGGTGTTCCCTCTGAGCCCTACTTGTCTCTGATTGTTTCAGGCATGATAAGTAAACAGTAACAGCATTGCTTGTGTAAAATTTTGGTTAGATACGGTCTCTTCAACTTTCCTCATTTTGGTGGGGCGAACCGCCCCTCAGCAGGGGGGCTCACACTGCGCACATGAAACGAGTAAAATCGCACAGTCGCCGAATTTCCCCTCGTATCGCGGGAAAACTTGCGCGCCCTTCATCCCCAGCGATATTATTACGTCCTCCCCCTTTGCGTGTTTCACAACGGAGGGTGCGCTCACGCTGATAGGTACAGTTGACCCGTTTGGAATGATCGCTTTTTCATTTTACTCTCTTAGTCACGGAATGGACATTGGCAGCGATCACATATGTTCAAGGAGAGGGGAAGGCAAAAAGAGAAGAGACAAAAAAAGGAAAGAAATAACTAGTAGAAACCCTATCGCGTCCAGCTGGTTTAGGGGAGGCTGTAGTGCCTGGAAACTTCACCTCACCTGAGTTACCTTGTACCTTAAACAGCTCGCAGATGCCGCCACTGCGCACTTCATTTTCACCAATTGAAGCCTAATTCGATTTTTTCCACAGCAAGGGTTTAACGCTTAGAAAACTCTTTAGTTCGTTCACTGTGTTAAGGAACTCCTGACGATGAGGATTCGGATGAGGAGTTTCCTGCACCACCGCCAGTATTGAGCAGAACGTCGACCCCTAGCCAGGTATGTTTTGTTATGAATATCAGAAAATTTATGTTTTCCTGTTTGCATGTTTATTTGCCAACTTTTTTTTATTCTGCATTTTGCATTTCAGACGGAGGCTCGTGTTGTTCCAGCGGCTCCACCAAAACCTCTTCGACAATCGATGACATCACCGAATTGTTCACCGATGAAACAGCAGCTACCACATTGTGTGTCACCTCCGCAGACTTTCAGTCCCACTTCTCAACCAGGCACACCCACTCCGAAAAAGGCACCACCACCTCCACCACCGAAACGTTCAGAAGCAACGCGACTTGTCACAGCGATTTCGCCACAACCGAATCACATAAGCGATCTTGAAGCGGCCTTGGCGAGGAGGCGTGAGAAAATCGCACAGAATTGAGTATTTTCTCGTTTGATTGATAGATTTCCTTTACGAGTCTAGCCAAGTTGCTTGACAAATCGTCATTTTTTTCAAAATTATGCTCAATTCTGTGCAGTGTTTCCAGATGAAAATATCTGCCATAGATATCAATTTCATTCTTGATTGTATTTTTTCGTTCCTCCTTCATTATTTTCCGCGACATTAAATATTTTACTAGGTTCGAGCTCCAGTTTGCTGCTTTCTTTGTGTGCTATGTACGATTTCCCAACGTCTTTTCCGATGACGTCACTGTCGCTTATTTCATTATACAATTTTTTAAAATTGATTCCTCATCAATGCCATGTCAAATATTGTTATCTGTCATCTATCTAGCTGCCCGATTGTAACATTACGATTTATGTTTATTAATCATTGATTGCCGGTGTATTTCTTTTGACTGATTAACGACGACGTTTTGAGGTCAGTAGCGTTGTTTGATAGAAATTAAGTTCTTGACCAATGTACCTTGCAACCACATGTCCAACATGTAGCATCCCGTTTGTGGGAGTCCTTGAAAATCGATAATTTATGTGTAATAAAGATTCTATCAGTTAAAAATTTGTTTACCAAAAGTCTTTGACTGAATGTACCTTGGTTTGGGGATCCGCGAAGTTAAGGAAGAAGTTGTTTGGGCTTTCTGTAAGCTGGCAGACGACTTGGGCGCTGGGCCACTTAGTTGGTGCTCATTATTAACTGAATTAATCAAAATCACAGTCCACGATGGTTGTATGGGTGGAGACAGTCATTGGACCTTTCTTAATGGCGCACTCCTCACGTGACGGTGTAGGGAAGAGAACAATGATTTGCTTTCCCGCCCACACGGTCAGCGTAGACCATGTATGTCAATATTCTTTAAAGGCAGTTGGCACGATAAAGCCCCAAGACGACTAGGATCAATACTCTGGAAAGATAGAATTCCGCGACCCTGGGCAGGCGCTGCATAGCGGTTTCCCCAGTGGAAGCGCACTTATAAGGCTTCCTATTCGAGCCACACTTACGATCCCAAACGCCCGCCCCGCCGCGCGCACAAATGATCGACCGTTCCTTACGGCTCGTATTCATTATTGCTAAGCAATTTATGCGAGCGAGTGACGGGATGGAACTGAAGCGGGCCGTGATGCGCGCATGCATACACTTGGGTAACCATGTGCCAGCCGTATCTTCGTAGTAGCGTGATTGGCAAGATGCCTACGGGAAACTCGTCCGAAATCGATTTCAAGTCACTGAGAACGGAGGCTTTTTCTTCGCAGGATTTTGACCGTTTCACTCCGTTCTTTCGCCATTTCCCCACTATACAGCGCCCTACTAGCATTTTAGGCTAAGTAGGAAACTATCGTGCCAACTGCCTTTAAATACCGTGAAGAAATACTGTGATGGAATATTGAGCTCGTCCTGCTGATGAAGTAGGTGGAACTCTTCAGTTGACTATGCTGGGCAGGTTTTTCCACTGTGTAAGTGTGAATATAGAATTTTTGGCCTAATGATCCAGTGCCGATAACGGCTGACGGGGTTATCACGTTCAGTGTGTGCGTGCTTCAAAGGCACGTTACGCGTTAATCTGGTGTGCAGACGTCGTCCGTGGAAAAAGTAGTCCTGTTAGCAAGCAGAACGACATGTCGCTTCTGGCGTTCAAAAGCACGTGATATGACGCCACCCGATAACGACGAGGGCATCCACTAACTACTCTCCTGACTCCGGCTTTTAGACCGGCCCTAAAATTTACCAACAAATCACAGGCGAGCACACAGCAGCTTAAGCAACTTATCTTTAAAGGCAGCGCCCGCGTTCAAATTTGATGAGTATGCGGCTCAGGTAGTAATAGCAAGGTAGCAAGAAACCTATTAGTGAAGAAAAATCAAAAGAAAACATGCAAAATGCCCTATAAGGAGTTTCATACCGAATAGCGGTTGTACGTGCTTAAGGCGAAGAGAAGGAGTGGTTGCACGAGTTCTCACTTGTTGATTTCAAGCTGTTTCCCATCACCTTCACTCTCACCAGTTTCGAAGTGGAGGGCGCTTTAGTTAGCCAGAACAACCGCACCATCAGGCAACCATTAGAAATGAAGTTGGGCGTCGTGGTCGCCAGGTGGGCGGGGCGGTCGACTCTTTACTAGCGATAGGCGCTATCCTCTCGCCTTGTGTGAGATGCAAAAACTAGTACATACTACATCCTTATGGGGAGGGCTATGATATCCAGAAAGGGCGTAGGAACATCAAGTGAATGTGGGCGCTGCCTTTAAGAACATGAAATTCTCTAGCAAACAGTCTAGAATGCACTGAGAGAACTCTCCATTTCTGACACAAATTTCTATGCTAGAAAAAAAACTACATCACTTGTGAGCAAACCCAGTAGTCCGGTGAAGCAGTCAGCATTAAAAGTACCCTACAAAAATTTTTGCGGCCTGAATTTCACAAGCATTCCAATGCATATGGATTTGGCTTCTAAAAAATTGCATGTCGCCGTTCCTTATAGCTGAAATTGATAGCCGCAACAGTCAGGTGGCGTGAAATGAGCCGGCGCGGGCTTCGTTTTCTATAAATAGTGATCGGTTAGTGCTCAGTTAAGCAAGAAAACAACCAACAGTGAAAACGTCGCGAGGAGGCTCAATCCTTCCTTCTTGAAACCGCCTCGGCTGATTGCGATATCTGTGTTTAACCCAGTGTTTCTGCCACAACAGTGATGTTAGTACCAGATAGCCTATCCCATTGGTACAGGGGAATTGGTTTATGACGCCTGAAGAGCAGGCCGGTCACCTCCTGATGCCTTTCCCCTTAACACCTTACTCTCACCATTCGAGGAGAGGGTTAGTAGCAGAATAATTGCACCATCAGATAGCGGTGAAAAATGGGCGTTGCCGTGGCCAGTAGGCGGAGCCGTGGCTTCTTCGCAAGGGGGCCGCGCTTTCCTTACGTATTTTAGAGCTGCGGAAGTCTTCTATGCCTGCAAAGAGTACTAGCGAATCCATCCAAGAAAAGGCGTCTGCGCGTCAGATGGGTGAGAGATGGGCGAGCCTTCGAGTTATTGCTTCCCTAACTTCGCTGACCGTCGTTTATAGCTGATCATGAGAATTGCAATATTGATAAATTTCTCTCCAAAATTCTTGTCTAAGCAATTTTTTTTCAAAAAGTTCAGAAGTTCAGTAGCCATTAGTCGTAATTATAATATGAGTAAAAATACAGGGCGGGGGGACAAAAAGAAGACACTTTTCTTCCTTGACTTTCGAGGCGCTATATGTTACACTATTGAATTCTGATCGGACATTTCTACCACCATATCAAAGAGCATATTAAATACTATCATAATACTCCGCCACAGCCTTCTGGACGGGCGCCAGGTCTCAGTTGAATTCTCCGCTACTCGCTAGCCTACCCATTGAACTTCGCCGGACCAGATAGTTTTAAAGGGGAGCTTTAAGTATCAAGGTAACATGCTATGGATATTCCATCTTACTTCAAGCGACCAACGCCCTTCACATGACAAGTAGAGCAGAGCAGAGTTTTTCAACAACGCCCTTCGAAATCCCAATGTGGTGTCACCAATCCTGTTGGACAGATAACAAAGTTTCCAAGAAAGGTAGTAAGGGTGGACGGGACATAGTGGAGGATATTCTTCTCGAGTTGCTTGATGTAACCGTCAGCGCTCACTTTCAGTCCGGGTCCACCAAGAAAATATCGGTCTTCCCATTCCAGGTACGTCCGGTCCATACCATCAACTCGCGCCTCGGCGACTACGGTGAAGATGATGTCCTAGACCGTAGCGACGTTGTCGGAGCTGCTCGATGTTGGAGGTCTTCCAGATCGAAAGTGCTGGTCTCCAGGTAGCCATCCATGGGTGACTCCACACTAAGAAGTTTCGCGATGTTATAGGTGACATGGCTTCATATTTTAGGTGTTACATTTAGGCTGATGGGGCAGGCCTGCCTCCTGACTGTCGAGCGAAACATCATTGGCGTATCTTCCGCCTCAGTACTCATATCCACGTCCTCTGATCTGCGGCTGCACGAAACCTTTTGCTGATGTGATGAACTCGCGTCGCAGATCTCTTTTTTTTAGCCCCCCCCCCTGTATTATGTTGGACACTGTGAGGATACTATATCGTGGTGAAGCGTTCTATATGTTTAGTTACGTTCCCGACCTGGAGATTACCTTCGTCATCCGGGCAGTTGATTAGGGCGGTCGTCAACGGGCCGCAGCGCGTGCCAGGAACTATTTGCTTTTTCCAGACTAATTTAGTCATTTTTTCCAACTTTTCACTGTTTTGGCTACTTTTTCCCAGATTAGCAGCTCCTTATCTTCAACAACGCGTGGAAAAAATAGACTAAATTGCCTGGCCGAAGCAATAGCTTCCTGGCACGCGCCTGGGCCGTGATGACCGCCCTAATCAACTGCCCCGGATGACGAGTATATATGTTCGGCATTTTGCTAATGCTATGCCAAACATAGAACTTCATATAGTTCGCCAGACGAAGAAAGCGTAAGTGAAAATGTGCCCGTAAAATCCCCGTCCAATCCATTGAAATGCAGATAATGTAAATGTTTTCGCACAATTCTCGTAGTGTTAGTGGCGTTAAAGATTCATGATGTTATGTACGTTACGATCACTGCGGAATTACAATTAACGCCGCTTTGGATTACGGTAGCGTGACGGTAATACTGAGGTTAACTTCTTGTCCACGAACAATCCTTTCCTGTTGATTCATAGAGTGAACTATATTATACTAGCTGACCTTCTGTATCAGCTATTGCTACCCACGGGTGAGTGTACTGGAATAAACGCTCCCGTGGTATTTTATTCGAAGTTCCACATAATTTGAACATCGCGCCTTCAGAATGCAAATGGCTGGTGCTGGTGACGCTCGCACGGATCTGGTTCACGTGTTGGAATTGAAGAAGACGCACGTACGAGATCTGGCCAGCATTATCAAGGCAATATCCTTTCGAGAGGTGAACATATTCATTTGGATTTTTGGGTCTCTTCTATGGTTTGCTATTCGGGCGGTTTGCTGGTTCGTATTGTAAGCTGCCCCGCCCAGTCTATGAAGACCATTGTCATCTAATAACTGATAAGTTTAGAAGCACACTTTACTCTGGTCGCATGATCGGGGACAATCAGTCGTTTTACCTTCAGATGCATACCTTATATTCACCTTCTTGGAACAAGGGTGGCGCAAAGGTTGACTCCCCAGGGCTACTGCGAAGTCTGCCTTTGGGCTATTCTTGCGCAGTTGCCACATCACTGAACCGCAATCTGCAGACGGCTTTATTGTGGCATTAGCCGGTTCGACCAGATCATTCTCACCAGCTTCTTAAATTCAGAATGCTACCTTCCAAGCAACTCCACAAGGAATGCGGATTCTTGTTGATGACCATCATTGCCAGCAGGTAAGTTTGTCTTCTCTTCATGAAACAATTTTATTTTGTGGCGGCCCCTTGCTGAGTACCGATAAGGAGGTGCTAGTCGTACGCTGAGGACTAAAACAACGAAGGCAAACTGTACAGTCACCTCCGAGGACGGTCTGTGTGCACGAATGGGTCTCAGCTAGAGCAGCGTACTACCTTCTCCCTTCAAAAGTGCGCGGGGCCGGGACTGTAGGGTAGTGGTGCTCGGGAGCCGTCTGCGCGCTCCGCCTGTGCTATCTTCAAGACGCAGCACACCGAAATCCTGCAGCAAAACACGCACTAAGAGGGAGAGAACAAACAAAAGTGAGAGGATGGAGACAAATAGCTCATTTGGCTATGGCTAAGCATGTGGTAGGCCGTGCTGCAGCGCGGCAGGAGTACGAAGGCGACCCCGAGTACCACTACCCACAAGACCCATTCTCGTGTACTTTTGAGCGGAGAAAATGGAACGCGTACATGGCGTAGTCTGCAAGGAATCATGGATTCGAGTTAGTCGGTCTAGATCTGTTCTTATCCGAAACCTGTAACAGTTATTCATAATCTAATGTAAAGTATTTTGTGCCGGAACGATTTAGTGCTGTGAAAAATCTACTACTAGTCTTACCGTGAACTTTTGCTCTTCATTTCAGGCGATTGCCTACCTATCGAATGATCTGTTTTCAAGCTTCATTCTACGTGATCGAGCTGTGCACTTCAGGATTCCACTTCATGTTGTATCGGTATGGTGTGATTGCTCTAACATACATTCTGTATCCCGGAGATGGGATGGGCGTGGCTGAGCTCTTACCTTGAACTCGGCGTAGGATGAGTACTTTGTCGGATATTTCCATATGAAACAACTGTCATCCTCTCTTGTGCTGGACAAGGCATGTTTACAATTATTCAAAGCCGAAATATCCTGCCAAACAGGGGGTCGTCGCAATGAGTGCGCAGCCACGCCCACCCCACCTTCAGTATATCGAGTGCACACCGGATGTCCACTTGACGTATATTGCGGTGATTACTGGCTTTTCTGTCACTTAAAGGACCGTTCGCTTCCTGTTGTTGTTAGGCACCAAGAGGCTATGCCTGTGAAGAGAAGGGGCGGGAACAAGGACTGAGGCTTTTAATTAATTCTTTTTCTCCCCTTAATTAGATCAAATCAAATTTATAGGAATGCATAAGTATGCATACGGGATCTGGAGCTACATTGAAGATGACGTACGATGGTCCCGGTGAACCAGTGAAACTTATCCTCGAAGAAGATGGAATAGTCGTTGATATGAATGTTCAGACGCTAACAACTGAAGAGGTGAGCTACTCTCAGTGCAGAAAAAATGAGCTGGTAAAGCGAGAGTTAGGCACACGTGACGCGTGCGGTAGCGCTGCGGTCACTGGTATACTTTTGGTTGGCTCCTTAGAGTTACAATTGAGGGAAAAGACCAAAAGTGGCCAGAATATCGGTCGGTCGGAAAATTGTAAGAGGATTCGAAGTCTGAAGTAGTAGAATCTTTAATATACAGTTGATATTGCCGCAGTCCGGTGGCGCGGTGTCAGGATTTGCGGAGGGAGAACATTTCCACCACTGATTGCTCTCTATAATAGAACCAGCGTTAGTGGAAAACGCAGTCCGTTCTCAACAACCGCCGCCAGACTGCGACGCATAATCAGCTGTAGGGACTTGATTGTAAAGTTTTCATAGAGCGAACAGTTCGCTGCGGACGGTTGGGCGTGTCAGTGCGGCTGCGTTTGGCGCGGTGCCAAACTCGTTCTCCACCAGTTGTTGAAGCGGGCAAGTGACAATACTGTATCATATCCTTCGTATTACTCGTTTTCTACCACTTTTTGTCGCATGCGCGTTTCAACAAGAAGGCAGAGAACGGCTTTGACGGGGTGACACACTCATACTGGCTGACACGCCCAACCGTCCGCAGCGAACTAGAGTGTACACTAATAAAGGTGAGAAAGGCGTGAAACTTTTCTCCTTAAGATTCTCGACTTCCAGTTCAATACAGATGATGTGACGTTTCAAGTCATTATGAAGTCGTATATGTTGAAGGAAGCGATAAAGGTAGGAAGCTTTTTTTGCAGTTCGTGCCTTTTCACTTCAAATTTCCGTCTCGAGAAAGAGGGGGGGGGGTTAGAGTGAGACGCACTGCGACCGTTTCCATTGTTGACAGAAGTATGGAGCAATCTGTGCCCTGCTAAGGAATGACGAGTGTCCGAGCTACGTCGAGTATGTATTTGATGCA